CATGAACATTATTAAGTGTTCTTGAATTCCCATTCTTCACAATGTCATCATTTGTTATGATCCACAGTCGAATGCCTTTGCATAATCAATAAAACACAGGTAAACATATTTCTGGTATTCTCTGCTTTCAGCCAAGATCCATCACCAAGGCCGTATTTTCCAACTATCAATCCTTCTTTGTTTCTAACTTTCGCATTCCAATCACCAGTAATTATCAATGCATCTTGATTGCATGTTTGATCAATTTCAGACTGCAGAAGTTGGTAAAAGTCTTCAATTTCTTCATCTTTGGCATGAGTGGTTGGTGCATAAATTTGAATAATAGTCGTGTTAACTGGTCTTTCTCACAGGCATATGGATATTATCCTATCACTGACAGCGTTGTACTTCAGGACAGACCTCAAATGTTCTTTTTGACGATGAATGGGACACCATTCCTCTTCAATCTGTCATTCCTGCATAGTAGACCATATGATTGTCTGATTCCAAATGGCCAATACCAGTCCATTTTAGCTCATTAGTGCCTAGGATATCGATCTTTATGTGTTCCATTTCATTTTTTGACAACTTCCAATTTTCCTAGATTCATACTTCATACATCCCACATTCCAATTATTAATGGTTGTTTGCAGCCCTTTCTTCTCATTTTGAGTCATGCCACATCAGCATATAAAGGTCTCGAAAGCTTGACTCCATCCACATAATTAAAGTCAACTCTACTTTGAGGCGGCAATTCTTCCCCGTCATATTTTGGGTGCCTTCCAACCTGAGGGGCTTATCCTCCGGCACTATATCAGACAATGTTCTGCTGCTATTCATAAGGTTTTCACTGGCCAATTTCTTTTAGCAGTAGACTGCCACGTCCTTCTTCCTAGTCTGTCTTAGTCTGGAAGCTCTGCTGAAATCTGTCCAGCATGGGTGACCCTACTGGTATTTGAATACTGGTGGCATAGCTTCCAGCATCATAGCAACATGCAAGCCACCACAGTACGACAAACTGACAGATGAGTTGCTCAGCTAATGTTAACCCTGGGTAATGTTCAAAGGGGCTCCTTTTCCATTACAATTATAATGATATTATATATGTTTAGCCAGTGCTTCCATATGGCCCCAAACATGTAAAAAAGCATTGCCTCTTTACACCATATTTTGTTGAGCTAACTCCTATACGGTGATGGCAGGAGGAAAGTAGACACAGCCTTACCTATATCAACCAAATGACCATGTGTTTTCCAAATCTGTTTCTGGAGGAGGTAACTCCTGCTTGTTAACATGCTGTCTGTTTCTATTTGGCTTTGGCGTCCAACATCTTGGGAGTACCCACATATCAACAACGGCTGAATCAGTTTCATGACATGAAAAGAATACATCAGAGTGACTTGCTGTCTGAAAATTATTCTTGGATCCAGTCCCTGGGAGAGGGTTTCTGTATTTTAATGAGATCAATCTTTCTCCTGAAAAGGCAAATCAAACCCCTTAGGAGAGTCTAGGAGACTCGCTGTGCCAGGCAAACACTGATAAAGTCAGCTTCCTTCCACTCCCCATCCCCTGCCTATCTTACCCCCGTCAGTAATGCATCCCAGTCAAAGCATGAAGGAGACGGCTTGCACTGGCAGTCAGGAGCCTGAGTTTGAGTCCCCATGTCTGCTGACACTTCACTGTACTGTGTTCCCTTGGGCAAGTGCCTGGACCTCTCTGGGCCTCAATCTTCTCACCTATAAAATGGAGAGGAGTACATTAGATGCTAATCCAGAGAGCCTTCCTAGCTTAAACTGGTTTGATTTCATGACATCTAAAACATACCTATGCTAAGGGACCATGGAAACCAACTTAACCCCCTTGGCCTCCAACCTCGGAGGTGGGGCTGTGCCCAGGAAGCATAGCTATATTTCCCAATAACACTCTCCTAGTCTTAATTTAGGAGCCCTGATGGCACAACAGTTAAGTACTCACTGCTAACTAAAAGGTTGGTGGTTTGAACCCACCGAGCTGCTCTGTGGGAGAAAGACCTGGCAATCTGCTTCCTTAAAGATTACAGCCTAGAAAACCCTATAGGGCAGTTATACTCTGTCACATGGGGTTGCTATGAGCCGAAACTGACTTGATGGCACACAACAACAAAGTCTTCATTTGAATCAGAGACACCAAGCCCTCTGGAGCCCTAGCCTGTGCTAAAGCCTCCAGTCCCAACCCTCAGACATAGTCAGCCCCCCCCCACCCCAACTATCACTGCTTCCCTGGGCCCTACTGCAAACTGTCAGAGTCTCCCCTCAAAAGTCAGTGTCCTAAATGCTCCTACCAGGTGCTCACGTTCTAATCCTCACCTCGGTTCCTCCCAGCCTCTTGTCCATGATGGTAATGGATAATGACTACTGTTTATTTTTCCAGGAGCCCTGATGGCACAGTGGTTAAGAGCTTGGCTGCTAACCAAAAGGTCGGCAGTCAAATCCACCAGGCGCTCCCTGGAAACTCTTTGGGGCAGTTCTACTCTGTCCTATAGGGTCACTATGAGTTGGAATCAACTCGATGGCAAGCGGTTTAAGTATTTAACGTGTCCTGATTATTTTGACTTTCACAATAGCCCTAAAAGGCATACTATTATTATATCCAATTTACTGATGAGGAAACTGAGACACTGGGAATTTAACTAAGTTTGCCTGAGGTGATCCAGCTACATGGTGATGGAGCCAAGACTTGACCCTCAGTCCTACCGGTGAAGAGCCCATGCATGTAACCACGGATTCAGGTTGGGGCTCGTTAATGCTGCTGGTAATAACTCAGAGCTCCTGTTCATTGAGTGCCTGCAGCACAATAGGCATTGTACTAGGCACTTGTTTTATCATTTCATTTAAACCTCACAACTGAAAGAGGGAATGTTTAATTCCCATTTTATAGAGGTGGAGACTGAGGCTCAGAAACATTGAACAACTTCCTCATGGTACGTTTTAGAATTGGGCAGGCTTCAACGCAGTAGTGTCCAATGCTAGGATCTGTAACTTTCCTCTCTTGTCACTCTGCTTTGAAGAACGAATACCCGGAGATGCTTCCCACTCCACCCTGCTTGCGAAAAATAAAGAGGCACCTACCGGCACTGCTCCCCCTTTATAGAACTCTGAAAATGTTGAACAGGCTGCCCCTGCTGGGGGAAAGGAGGGTTTGGCAGGTCTTTATTTGTCTGCTGACCTTTGCTGGAAGAAAGCCAGGGCCCAAAGAAGCAACGATCACCTTGGTTTCTGTTTCTCTTCCCCAGTTCTGGACTGTCCTGTCATGTGGCCTGCTTTCTGGAGCCCAGCAGTCCTTAGGGGCAACATCGGACTTAGAAGGGAAGAGGAGAAACTGAGATAGAGTTCCTGGACTCAGCCACAACCATAAAACCTCATGGATGATCTCTGACCTGAGGTCTCAGAGGTCCGAGGAAGGCAGATAGAACAGGTCGAGAGTGCATGGGGTCATTCATTCACCACACCTTCGATGAGTGCCTACAATTAAGTGTACTCACTGTGCCAAGTATGTAACAACCTCTGAGGTAGGCTGTGCCATTCCCATTTCACAGATGAAGAAACTGAGTCTCAGAGATGTTAAATAACTTGTCCCAGGACACACAGCTGGAAAACAGGATTCAAACCCAGGTCGATCTGACTCCAAAGCACTGCTCCTGCGTGTAGGACTGTGAGAGTGGGCACGAAGGAGGGTGAGAAACAGTCTGCACCTTCTGCACACAGATCGCTGAACTGCAAGGAATAAGCAGAGAGGAGGGTCAGGGCAGTGGAGTTTTCACCTCACTCCCACTCCTCCAGTCTCCCCTCTCATGCAGCCCAGACCAGGATGTGTCGCCCAGCCCTGCCTTCCACAGCTAATGCTATTCCGTTTGGAAGGTGCCCAGCAGGCCTGGGAGCCCCGGTGGGCTGCTTTGCCTCAGAGACAGGCAAAGGTGGCTTCATGTTGGCCTGAGCTAGACAGCTAGGAAGATACGTCTGCTATCTTTGCCTTCCCTGAGCCCTCACTGGCCAGCAAAGGCAGCCGGGGTGCTTTGGTCCAGCACCATGGTACACGCACACACAGCTTCTCTGCCCCGTCTCTCTGGCTCTTCGCTCTCAACTTCCTTCTCCCTAGTATCCTACCTGCAAGTAAATTCCCAGCTACCCCTGTCTGTCGACCAGGGCCTGTCTCTGAGGCAAAGCAGCCCACTGCTTTACCCTCATCACATCATTTTAGTCTTCCTTTAATCGGGATCATGGAGAAGAGTTATGAAGAGGGCAACTTTTTCCCTAACTTAAATTATAATTACGAGGATTCAGCAGGAGGGGTCCTCCCGTTTCCGTTTCTTAGTTCTTTTTGTTGTCACTTGTTTTGTGATTCTGGACCGATTATAAGATAGTTTGACTTTACATGAAAAGACTGGAAAAGCTGTGAGTCGAAATCGGGATGAAAATCGGTTTAGGAGATTTCCATACTTGGGGGTTGGTGGTGTGGGTTGGCAGGTCTTAGTTCGGGTCCACAGATGTGAGGCAGGCAGCCCTCGGCGGAATTTCGCAGTGCAAGTGACAGCGTACAGTGAGAGTGGCTTGGCATTGGAGAGGACAGCGCTGACTGGCAGAAGAGTCAGCATGCAAACTCTGCCTCCCCAAATCCCAGGGACCTCACCGCACTAACCCAGGGGTAACTAAATTTGCCGCCGGCGCGGGCTCGAGCGGGCCTAGGCGAGCTCCACCTCCCGAGGCGCGCCGGGTAGCCCAAGCTCCGCCCCTCGGCCGCGTGGCCATTGGTCGGCACCGCCTCAGCACCTGTCCTCCCGCCCCTACCTTAGGTGGGCGGGGTTACCTGGGCCGCGCCTCCCCGTAGGCATGGGTTCCCAGGCAGCCGCTTCCTCCTCCTCCAGCCCCGCCCCCAGCACGAGGCCACGCCCCCTAGCGGAGCGCCTCGTGATGTCACCGCCGGTTTGATACAAAGAGCCCTTCGGCCCACGCGGGTCTCCCGGCAACGGGCGCGGGTGGGGGCGGGGCCGTAGCCTTCAACTGGGGCCGAACTGTGTAAGTCGTTGCGGCGCGCAGCCGGGATTGTTCACTGCGCTCGTTGGGCTGCCGGGTTTCTCTCTGCCCGCCTCTCTGACACGCGCCGACAGCTTCTCTGCTCTCTGCAGCGCCCCGACCTGCGGCCGGACGGGGGATGCGCAGCCCGCCAGCCCCTGGGAGCCAGGTAAGCTGCAGTCGAGGGGTTCCAGCTCGCAGGGCTACGTCGGCGCGCACTGGCCGAGTCCACGGCCCCGGGTCCGGGAAGTTACCGGAGTGCGGAACTTCATCCGCAACCGGGGCGCCCCCTCCCGCCCTGGGAGTGGAGACCTCTCGGCCCTGGCCTGGGAGGTCGGGTTACCTGAACCGGGCTCTCTCGGCCACCGAAGGGAAGCCGCTGCCGGTTCCGGGCCCTCTGCCTGGTCCCTGCCTGCGCTCAGGTGCCGACTGGGCAGGACTAGCCCCGGGGCGCGGGGAGGGATGATCTCTCTTTGGCGCAGTTTAAAAAAGTATTTTAGGGGTACCCAGCGGACTGGAAGGGGTTCGTTCACCCGGGACACCTCCCTTGGGGCCCGGCTCCTGGGCGAGTGTTGACGCGGCGCCCTGCCCTAGATTCGGCCGGGTCCCGAAAGAGACGTGCGCTGGCGAAGTTTTTCCGTAGCTCTTGGCGGCTGCACCGAGCCTGTTCCCCGGTTTCCCTCATCCCTCCGGGTGGCTTCGCTGGCCCCGAAGGGAGGGTAAGCGCAGTTCGGGGTTTGGGGACTGGGCCTGCCCCTTCCCAGCAGAGATGCGCCGAGGCCCGAGGTGTGCGCGGGTTCCCAGCCCTTTGCAGTCCGTGTCCCAGGAGCCGGCGGGTCCGCCCCGGTAGTAGTTGCTGTTGTCACAGCCATTTCTCTGCTGGCGACAAGCGTCTCAGAGGTCCTGGGGGAGGATCCGCTGGAAAACCAAGTCTGTGCCGTCGGGAACTCGGCTCCTACTCGGCCTCCAGCTCTATCCCTTGTGATCCCTAACCCCTCTGATACCAGCTCTTCCCCCAGTTCCTCTTCTTCCTGGGCCTGCTGTCCCACAGATGGCTGGAAACGACACACCACTTGGCCCTGAAGGCCATGTGAGTGTTGTGTGTTTGTTGACTGACTTATTTATAGGACACCTTCCCAAAGGAAGGTGAGGGGGCTGGGTTCCTGCCTCTCTACTCATCCTACACATCTTGTGTGACAACCCCCTGGGATGGTTTCTGGTGACCCACGAGAGTTCTGCCCTCCTCTCCGGTGGAAGGAGGTAGTGGTAGTCAGTTGGGCTCCTGGGGAGGGGATGGGGCTGGCATATCCCGTGGGGCACCCCCAGGTCTTTCCCCAGGTGAAATACTGTTACTGTGATTGCCAAGGAGCCTTGGTGGCACAGTCGATAAGTACTGGGCTGCTAACCAAAAGGTCTGCTGTTCAAATCCACCAGCCGCTCCTTGGAAACCCTATGGGGCAGTTCTACTCTGCCCTATAGGGTCGCTATGAGTTGGAATCAACTAGATGGCAGTGGTGGGTGATTTGCCTGGATGGGGCAAAGGGATCTAAAAGGGACAAGGACTACTTATTGTGTGCACAGGAAACCTCTGCCTAGGAACCTTTCTCTGTCTTTCTGTAACCATCTAACCCACCCTTGAGTACCTGAGAGCCACTGCATTGCCTGGGGTCTAGACACCCAGCACTAGCTTACCTGGTCACATACCTTATATTGCTCAGCCGACATTCACGGTATGCTGATTACATGCCCAGGGCATATTATGAACCGAGACCCCTCCCCGCCCTCAAGGTGTTTGCCCGGAGACTTTGAAAACTCTAATCTGGCCCTGCCCAACTCCCCGTGAGTCCTTGGGCAAGTTGCTTTGATCTGGGTTGTCTCTGAGTCCCCCTGACTTAATGGTGGGGTATGTGCAATCTCTGTGACCTGGAGGCTGAGGAAGTTAGTGCAGAACTCAGAATTTGAGCTAGATGGGGGAGTGGGGAAGGTGCACCAGCAGGCAGCCCAGCTCAGTGTCTGTAGAGGAGGGCTTTGGGATTTTCCCGACCCTGGCTTTGGTGGAGGGGGTGGGTGGATGACTAAGGCCTGCCTGAGAGATAAGCCTGGACTGTGGGGGGAGGGTGAGTAGCTAGTCCAGGTGAGCTGACTGGGAGGCATGACCTTTGCCTCAAGGAAGACTGTAGGAGGGACTGCCTGTAACCAGTCCTTGGAAAGGAGTTTTAGCTAAATGAGGGGGAAAAAGAAGAAATAAGGTAGCCCTCTAAGTCCTCTCCCTTGGGGACCCCCTGACTGAGAGGCTCTGGGCTACAGCTTGAGGGCCTTCTGGTGGATATGGACAGGTCCACACTCTGCCTCTCTCCTTCCGTCCTTCCAGACCTCTTGTGCCCCTTCCTAAAGCACAGTGGCCCCTGTATGGTCTCCCAGCCCCCTCCTCTCCAGGTAGGACCAGGGGTGCCCCTCAAACCCAAGGCTTTCTCCTTAGCTGTTCACCTGGGGCTCCTCACAGCCCACCCTCCTGCACCTTCCCTCCTTGCAAGGTAACTAAAAATCTCATTTCCTGGGATTGGCAGTCCCTCTTCTGGGGCCACCTCCACTGATTCTGCTCTGAGGAAGTTTCCGAATTTTACTTCACTCTCTGTATTCTACAGGGCAGTTCTACTCTAGTATAGGGTTGCTCTGAGTCGGAATTGACTCGACAGCAGTGGGTTTTGGTTTTGGTTTATGTATTTTAGGTGTGGGCGAGGGGGAGGAAGGCGTAGGAGCAGCTCCCAGTGAAATAGCCAGTGAGCGGTTTCCAGAAGGCAGGCATCAAAGACCTAGGGGAGGCATGACCTGGGCATGGGATGCCTGCCCTCTGGCCCTGTGCTCTGTCTCTTGGCCAGGGCTTATGTGTTTTGAAAAGGAGGCAGCTTTATCTGGTCCTCCTGCAGCCTGGCATTAGCACTGGGACGCAGTGCCCTGGCCGTGTCAGGCATGCAGGACTCTTGGAGTTGGGCTCCCTTTTCCTCTGGGTTAGCTCTGCCGACTCTTGAGTCAAGAGTAACTGGGTGTTGATGGCATCAAATCACTGGCCTCATGAACAAGGCTACACAGCCAATGTGCGGTCACTCAGGTCCTCCTACTGCCTGTTCTCACAGCTTGATTAATGTGTGTTGCTGTCCCACGGCCAGCTGGGCGGGGTGAGATGGGCGCATTGCCCTGGAGGCCTGCCTGTGTCCTACTGGATGTTGTGTGATATCTCCCGGACGTGGTATGGTGGCAGACTTCTCCAGTAGTTGGCATTCCAGGGCACAGACCCTTTACCCATTCCCACTTACCCAGCCCCAGCACAGGGCCCGGCACAGGGCAAATACTGGCTGAATTCATTCATCCAACAAATATTTGAGTGTCTTAATTTGTGCCAGTTCTGTGCTGGGCACTGAGATTACAGCAGTGAACACAACAGACAAAATCCTTGCCCTCCTGGAGCTCACGTAATAGCAAAGATGTAGAAAAATAAGTTCAACATATGCAGTAAGTGAGATGGAGGAGTCCCTGGGTGGTGCTGGGCTGCTGACAGAAAGGTTGGAGGTTCGAGTCTGCCCTGAGGGGCCTTGGAAGAAAGCCCTGGCCATCTACTTCTGAAAAATCAGCCTTTGGAAAACCCTATGGAGTGCAGTTCTACTCGGACACACATGGGGTCGCCATGAGTCAGTCACCTCGCCAGCAACTGGTTTTTAAGTGAGATGGGAAGAGAGTGATGGGGGTGAGCTGTTGTGTTTTTTAAGTAGGGTGGTCAGGGAAGTCCTCACTGAGAAGGTGACGGCTTGACAAAGGAGGTACAGGCAGTGAGAACAGCAACTGCAAAGGCCATGGGGTGGGAACATGGCTGGCATGTTGTGTCCATGGAACTGCAAGGGACCACTGTGATTGAAGAGGAGTAAGCCCAGGGGGCAGGGGGAAGAGCTCAGAGAGGTCACGAGAGCACCCGGTACTGCCAAGTGATGGCCAGGAGTCCCAGTAGGAGAATGGAAAGAGACTAGAAATCCCCAGGCACAGACATGCATTTCACTGCTCTGCCCTCTTCCAACCCTTCCTATGGAGGAAATTTCAGTGAAGGCATCCACATTGTGGAGGAGGGTGTCTGAGTGTAACCATTGCTACTGTGGGCTTCCCTGCCCTGAGCTCAGGTAAGGTCAGATAAGCCTGCCCACGGGAATATGGAAACAGTTCTTGCAGATGATGCTGTTTCCACCACACGGATCGGTAACAGCAAAAACCACTCTAGTGATGTGCACAGAGCTGTGTGTCTCTCAGCTGCAGAGCACGGGCTCAGGGCCTGTCTCCCTGTTCCCACAGGTCAGCTCCTACCAGGGGTGGAGGCAAGTCCAGCTCTCAGGACCCAGGAAGAGCTGGCTGCCATGCTTGTGCACCCTCTGGCTGCCCCCACCCCCCGGGCTCTGTTTCTTCATCTCTTTCCTAAACGTCATGGACTCCTTGATCTCTCTTAGCCCAGGGTGCGCCCTCTACCCATTGACAGCTGGCAGCACAGTTTTGTGCCCTGGTCTCTTAAGGACCCAAGGAAGGCACTCACACACCTGGGAAGTGGCTATGAGCTCAATCTCCATGCTGTGTGTGTGAGAGAGAGAGAGAGACAGGCAGGACGCCCAGACTGGGTCTCACCCACCCATCTCCCCTCCAGCTGAGGGTTAAGGGTGTCTTCTGTGTTCCTGGTGTTGCCCAGGCCTGCATCCCACTCGGGGAGCACCCTGAGCAGAGGGTGGGTGTCACTGGAGTGAGTTTGTGGCCACGTCTCCCGACCAGCACGTGCTCCCTCTGGAGGGTTTGCCGCATTGGGCCTGACACCAGTTCCCAGCAGTGTGATATGAGTCCTCACGCTGGGTGGCGGGCTGCAGAGAGTGAGCCTGAGGGCCTGGGGATGCTCTGAGCGGTGCCCACTCTTCACCAGAGCAGGCCCTTTGTCAGCTGTTTTCATTTGGAGTGGTCATTTTCTCATGCCAGGTGTCTGACTGCAGGTGACAGTCCTTACCTCCAAGTATTTGAGGCCTTATCATCACACCGTTAATTAAATGGAACTTGGTGGTAGCCAATCCACGTGGCTCCATTCATGGCTGAGTGGACTCAGGGTACCTGGCCAACCTCGCTCCCTCAGGGGGCTGTGAGGCTCCATTC